TTCATTTGGTTTGGTGTTTTTGGCTTTCCATTCTGTTCCATAGACCTGTCTACATCTTTTCCACTGCCAAATTGTTTTAATTATTGTCACTTCATAATATGATTTCATATTGGCAGGATTGGTCCTTCCAATCATTTTTTTATAATCAAAAGTTTCCTGGCTATTCTTGAGTGCTTATTTTTCCAGATAAAGCTTGGTATATTTCCTGCAGTTTCTTAGACTTTCTATTCATATTTTAATTAATATTTCTTTAATTTATGGATTAATTTTGGAGAGATTGACATCTTTTCATTACTGAGTTTTTCTATTTATGATTATGGATTATCTTTCTTTAGATTTACTCTTGAAAACTTGATATAACAATATTAAGTGTTTTTAACTGATTGTTAACATTGCTTTGTTTAGGTTTATAATACTAGAAATTACTAGAATTTTTTTTTTACATTTTTTGTTCCTGTTATAAAGGGAGCCAGTCTTAATATTTTATATATATATATATATATATATATATATATTTTTTTTTTTTTTTTTTTTTTTTTTTTGGTAAATAAAAACTATTTAGTTTTGTATACTTATGTTTGATAACACCAACTAATTGATCTTCCTTATTTATCATCTCTGGGTATTAGGTATATTGGTATATTAGATGTATAATTTTTAAAAAGATGCTTTTTTTTCATTTTATTTTTACTCATTTATTTTTGTATGTTGTTTAAATTAGTTGACTAGTTCAGAAATACATTAAAACTCATGCTGATACTGGGTAACTTTTTCTTGCATTCCAAACAGGCATCCATCCATGCAGATGATTTTTTTTTTGGTAGTAAAACACACCCAGCAGGGAATAAACATTGTATATATTTACAATTTTTTATCTTTGGCTTTTGTTTGTAACCATTAGCATCAGCCAAAAATCTTGTTTCAGTAATGTCTCTCTCTCTCCACTTGATGATAATATGTGACGTAAATTTATTAGGCATCTACTATACTCTCTATGCCTTTTCCTTGAACCATATTGTCAGGATTGAAAGGCTTCATTGGATCCACTTTTACTGATTTGCAGATTTCAAGGGTGATGTTTATAGCCACATCCTTGATTCAATTTTTCCCATGGGCTGAGTTTTAATTGGAAATTTTATTTTTTTAAATTTATTTATTTATTTTTTAGTTGTACACAATACCTTTATTTTGCTTATTTATTCTTGTGTGGTATTGAGGATTGAACCCAGGGCCTTGTGCATGCCAGACGAGCGCTCTACTGCTGAGCCACAACCCCAGCCCATGGAAATTTTATTTTTAAAGGCATTTTCCAGTTTAATTGTTTACCTGTTAGAGATGTGAAAAGAAATTTCAGTATCTCCCAGTTATATTTTTTGACATAATCTGTTCCTTTCACTTACTACTCACAAACTGGCCAGTTCTTTTCTGAGTTCATCTTTTTTTAAAAATAGTACCCTGTCAAATACAGCCAATAAAAATCAGTTCAAAATCCCAACATCCTGTTTCTCAGTTGTTCACCTTTCCCTGTAAGTTCTCCATGCACTTGGAAGCATGATTGTGTCTGGTGAGGCCTCCTATGGAGTGCCTGGCATAAAGGATGATTATAAGCCAGAAGGGTACAATGGCATAAAACATCAGGACACTGCAAATGAAAGCTAGATCTATAAGCTTTGTGAGGGGGAAAAACACCCCCTGCCCCTAACCTCTCAAATGAGAAGCAGAAAGTCTTCAGACATTGCCTTAATGGCATTTCAGCCAAGAACAGAATGGAACAAAGCCTTCAAAAGTCTGAAAAGAATTCAGAATTATGCTTCTACACGTAATTTATCAATTATGTAAATGAATAATCTACAGACATTTTTAGAGACTTAAGATCTCAGAATTTTATCTCCCATGAATTCCTTCTCAAGAAGCCATTGGGTTGTTGGCTCCCCTAAACAGGGAAGGGAACACAAATATAAAAACAAAGAATCTACACCCCGTCAAGAGACAGCTCTAAGAGAGACTGATTGAAGGATATGAAATTTTCAATGTTATATGAGTACATTTAGGAGGGATTTTGACAATTTGAGGGAGTTTGGGATTGGATATAACAATAAGTTTATGGTAAATTAAGCAATAAAACAGGCAGTTTTGGGCTCTAGGAAAAAATAAACATTTGGGCAAGAGAAGGCAAGTAATCAGAGTATATTGCTTAGCTGTGAACATTAGTATAATATATACTAACACTTAACCAAAGCTTTAGGAGTACATTAAGAGGATCTGTGCCTGTTAGAAGTGTAGGTGGGGAGGGCTGTTGGATAGTTTGAGAACTTAACCATCTTAATTCACAGATAATATATTTAAAATGTATAGAAATTAAAAATGTATGTAAATATGGTTTGGCAATCTAAACTCAAAGATAGAAATTTAGAGTAAAAAGTTGCTTTTAGAGGGTTGCCTTCTATAAGATTTGAACAACTATAGTACTCCTCAAATCGTGTGAGTGAATAGCCTTTTTTATTTGTAGATAATGGGTCACCTCCTCCTCTCTCCACCTGACAATCTTAGAGTATAATCCAATGTTTGTATGTAGAGTCTTAATTTTCCCAGATAAAACTGAACCTGACCTTAATCTTGTCATGACAGTCCTTGTTTTTGGTCTTCATTGTGCCTTCATAATTAAGACTTTAATGTTTTTATTAGTGCATTATAGTTATACATAGTAACAGGGTTCATCTTGACATAGTCATTAATAAGTAAAATAAAATTTGCTCCATATTAAACCTCAGTGTTTCCCTTTTTGTGGCCTTTCCTCTTCCCAATGCCCTTCCTCTACTCTGTTTATCTGTCTTCTATTAGTTTATTGTCTTCTTTTTAATTGGTGCATTATAGATACACAGAAAAGTAGAATTCATTGTCATATTTTCATATATGCACATAGTATAGTTTGGCCATATCGACTGTGTGGTTTTTTCCCCTTTCCTATTCCTCTTCCCTCTACCTTGTTTCTCTCTTACCTGTTCATGGTGCTTTATTCTATTTTCATGGGAATCCTCCATTTAAAAAAAAAATCTGTATTTCTCTCTTGCTTCCACATATGAGAGAAAGCCTTCATCCAACCCTTGACTTTCTCAGTCTGGCTTATTTCATTCAGTGAGATGTTCTCCAGTTCCATCCATTTACCAGCAAATGATATTTCATTCTTCTTTATTGCTGAGAAAGACTCCATTATATATAAATACATATCACATTTTCTTTATCCATTTGTCTGTTGACACGCACTTGAGCTAGTTCCACAACTTGGCTATCCTGAATTGCACTGCTATAAACGTGTGGGCATGTATCATTATTGTATGCTGATTTTAGTTCTTTTGAATAAATTCTAAGGAGTGGGATGACTGAGTCATATGGTGGGTCACTATTAGTCTTTTGAAGAATCTCCATACTCTACTCCAATGTGATTGTACTAATTTTCAGTCCCACCAACAATGTATGAGCATACCTTTCCCCCCACATACTCACCAGCAAATATTGTTATTTGTATTTTTGATGATTGCCATTCTGATTGGGGAGAGATGAAATCTCTGTAATTTTGATTTGCATTTCTCTTATTGCTAGAGATGTTGATTATCTTTTCATATTTCTGTTGGCCGTTTGTTTTTTACTGAGAAATGCCTGTTTAGTTCATTTGCCCATTTATTGACTGGTTGTTTTAAAACTTTTGATGTTAAGTTCTTTGAGTTCATTATATATTCTGGGTATTAATGCCCCATTGGAAGAGATATTTTCAAAGATTTTTTTCATTCTTTATGCTCTGTCTTCACATTCTTAATTGTTTCCTTTGCTGTACAGAAGCTTTTTAATTTGAAGTCATCTCATTTATTGATTCTTCCTTTTATTTCTTGAACTTTGGGAACCTCATTAGGGAAGTCAGTGCCTGTGGCCACATGTTGGAGTGCTGACTCTGCTTTCTTCTAGCAGTTACAGTGTTTCTTGTCTAATTCTTAGGTCTTTGATATACTTTGAGTTGATTTTTGTGCAGAGTGAGAGATATGGATCTAGTTCTATCCTCCTACACAGGGAAATCCAGTTTTCCCAGCACATTTGTGTTAAAAATGCTGTCTTTTCCTCCAACATGTTTTAGGCACCTCAAGGATCAGACTGTATGTATGTGGATTTGTCTTTGTGTCTTCCATCTATTCCATTAGCCCTCAGGCCTTTAAAAAAATGCTAATATCATGCTGCTTTTGTTTCTGTAGTTCTGTAATATAATATGAGATTAGGAGTTATGATGCCTCCAACATCACTCTTATTCCTCAGTATTGCTTTGGCTGTTCTTTCATTTTTCCATATGAATTTTAGGATTTTTTTCCCCTAGTTTTGTGAAGAATGTCATTGGTATTTTGATGGGAACTGAACTGAAACTATAGACCACTTGTGGTAATATGGCCATTTTCACAATATCAATTCTGCCTATCCATGATTGTGGGTAATTTTTACATCCTCCTAGTATTTTTTTTAATAATTTTTAGTTGAATATAATACCTTTATTGTATTTATTCATTTATATGTGATGCTGAGGATTGAAACCAGGGCCTCACATGTGCTAGGCAAGCAGTCTACTGCTGAGCCACAACTCCAGCCCCCTCCTTCTAGATTTTTTGTTTGTTTGTTTTTGCTTTTTGCAATTTCTTTTTTCATTCTATAGTTTTTATTGTAGAGGTTTTTCACCTGCTTGGTTGGCAACTCATTAAGGGCGGAGGCAAGATTGATGATGAGGTTCCTGTAGCTCCCAAATTCTTCTTTCTATGATCATAAATGACACACTGAAAAATGAGGACTAAATTTTCATAGAGTTAGGATTTGATGCATATGAGAATTTAAGTATTTGTAGATTTATTTCCAATCAATTTTGATAAGGGTAATGTTGAAGTTTGTATAGTCCTGCTTAGGCTGAAGAATTTTTTCTTTAATTAACAAAATATTTTTTCTTTAGTTAATTTCAGTATTATTTTCAGGGTGACCGTGGACTTCCTGGTTTTCCTGGGCTTCATGGAATGCCAGGATCAAAGGTTGAAAACATTTATTCCTTTTAAATACAGCAATATCATATTTTAATTAAAAGGAAAGTGCTTTTATATTATAAATAGATGCTCATATATAAATAAAGACAAGTATGTTAAAATAAATGATTAAGATTAATATAGTGGCTTACATAAAAATCTAAAAAAATTCTCCTTAAAGTTTTTAGTTAAGAATGTCTAATACAATATTTAAAATTGATAACAAGTTTACTATACACAAGTTATTTTAAATGTAAGCCCTAAACTGTAAGCCCTATTATAGTACCAATTAGGCTTATGAAGCCTGGAAAATAGGACTTTTGTAAACAAACTATAAATTATTTTATTTTTATTTATTTTGATGTTAGCATATTAAACTCTGTTATTTATAATGTGTTTTTTTCTTCATAAAGGAAATACTACTATTACTCTAAAATTTAATACTTATATATGTTTTTCTTTCAGGGTGAAATGGGCCCCAAAGGAGATAAAGGATCCCCGGGATTTTATGGCAAAAAGGGAAGTATAGATCACAAAGTATCAATATTGAACTTTTAATGTAAGGGAAATACCAAACTTGAATTGCATTCCCAGCCCAAAATTAGAGCAATTACCTTTGTTCACCCGTCTGAGGGACTTCTTTTAAATGTAGAAAGGAAAAAAGGGGGTGGGGATTATATCTGGTGACTGCAATAATGGTGCTGTATAAAAATCCATTGTTATTGGTCACTGTGCACTTCAAAAAATATTTACAGTGAATGATTTGTTTAGAAGCAGTATCTGCTAAAAACATATCCATTCAGAATTAATGTTATACACCTTCCTGTATCCATACACAGAAGGAAGTTTGTTTTTTCCATGCATTTAAAATACTATTACTTAAAAATTTATCAAGAGATGGTTGCAATGTCTAGATGCTTATGATAAAAATTCTGCATATTAACATTTTCAGTGTCTTAGAGGTAAATTTTTTTTTTTTTACCTGGGTAAAAACTTAACACTGGGATAGTTAAACGTATGCTTTGCCAACAGTTGCAGAGTCAACACAGTCTGCAGTTCCACTAATTCTGCCACTATGTACTGAAATTAACTTGTAAGCTTTCCTATGTAAATTTGAGTTAGAGCTTGAAAATATTATTGTCAAGATTGTTTTTTAAGTGTTCTTTTTAAATTCAGGGTGCAAAAGGTGAAAAGGGGAATGCTGGTTTTCCTGGCCTTCCTGGACGTGCTGTGAGTTTTGTAGAAAATTGTTCTTGAGTATTTTGCTTTAAATAAAAAGTAAAGTAGGGCTGGGGTTGTGGCTCAGTGGTAGAGTGCTTGCCTAGCATGTGTGAGGCACTGGGATCGATTCTCAGCACTGCATATAAATAAATAAATAAATATCCATCAACAGATTTTTTAAAAAAACAGAGTTTGTCTGCTTTAAAAGAAAAAATTGTATAAAAATATGCTAAAACACATGTATTTATTTTTTAGGGAGAACCCGGAAGACATGGAAAAGATGGATTAATGGGTATTCCTGGTTTCAAGGTATTTAGCAAAATAAACAAAATGAAAAAGTTTTTGTACCTGTGAATGAACATTAGAAGAATATGCCAATATTAGAATTTTTTATATACAGCATCGGGGTAAAATTAAAGAACTAAAACTATTTTTAGTCTAATGTAAAAATGATACTAAATTTCCCTTGAGTGCATTGTGAATTCTCATGTCTTAGAAATAAAATCACAGAATATTTTTATTAGCTAATTTATTTTAATTAGGTATATATGATAGCAGAATGCATTTTGATTCATTGTACACAATTGCAGCACAACTTTACATTTCTATGGTTGCACACTATGTAGCCTTACACCATATGTGCAGTCATACATGTACTTAGGTTAATGATGTTCATCTCATTCCACCATCTTTCCTGACCCTATGCACCCTCCCTTCCCTCCTTCCCCTTTGCCAAATCAAAGTTCCTCCATTTTTCCCATGTTTCCCCCCCTCCTGTCGAGTGTGGCTGGAAGGAGTGGGTCATTGGGGGCTTGGGAATGTGCCTTTGGGGTATATACTTTGTATCTGGCAAGTGGAGTGCAGTCAGTCTCTCTCTCTCTCTCTCTCTCTCTCTCTCTCTCTCTCTCTCTCTCTCTCTCTCTCTCTTCCTCTCTCTCCCTGTCTCTCTCTTTCCCCCCACCATCCCTCTTCCTTCCTCCCTCTCTCCTTGGGAGTAGTGACTGGATTAGCATCCTTGAGCTGTCCTGAAACACAGGCAACACCTGTTCTGGGAACTTCCAGTGTGAAGGTGCTGATTTACGATTGTTCAGTTGCTATGGTGATGCCCTGTTCAATAAAAGATTCTGACAAAATCATAGAATTTGCAGGGAAATGGATGGCATTAGAGCAGATTATGCTAAGTGAAGCTAGCCAATCCCTAAAAAACAAATGCCAAATGTCTTCTTTGAGCAGGAGAAGAAGATTAACATTTAACAGGGATGAGAGGTGGGAGGGAAAGGGAGAGAGAAGGGAAATTGCATGGAAATGGAAGGAGACCCTCAGGGTTATACAGTGGAGGGGGTAGAGAGAGAGGAGGGGAGGGGAGGGGAGAGGTGGGGAGGGGGGAGGGTGGAGGATGGGAAAGGCAGCAGAGCACAACAGACACTAGTATGGCAATATGTAAATCAATGGATGTGTAACTGATGTGATTCTGCAATCTGTGTATGGGGTGAAGGTGGGAGTTCATAACCCACTTGAATCAAAGTGTGGAATATGATATGTCAAGAAATTTGTAATGTTTTGAACAACCAACAATAAAAAATTAAAAAAAAAGATAGTAAAAGATTATGTGTAAACATTAAATGAAAGTATAGCTAGTGCAACTATATAATTACCAAAAGAAAAATGAAAACAAAACAGATGATAATATTAAAATCTCATTTTCAAACCAAAAAAATAAATAAATAAATAAAATAAAAGATTCTATTTCAGTCACATAGCTATCAGTTCTTGACCTTGAGGTTCAGACACCAGCTGCCTGGGTGAAGAAAGTTATGGGTGCAAGTTGATAATCATAATTGGGCTGCTCATAACTATGACCTTGGTTCTACTTGTTTTGAAGAAACTTTCTCACAATAACCCTTTTAATGATAAAACCTATAAAATAAACATGCTGAGCTTGTTCTGGGTCACCATCTCCCTACCAGGGATTTTAGTGAACCACTCAGTCCCAGCTTTTTATTTGTGTGTCTGTTTGTCTTTTCTTCATCCCCTCATGGATAGCCCCTGATCCAGTACCTGAATTAATGACCACGCAAATTGCACCCCTCTCTCTACTTATATCTCTCTCCTTATCAATCGTAGTATGAACTGCTTTCCTTCACCACACTCTTCCGCCATGATATGATGTTCTGCCCCATTGTGAGCCTCAAGGAGTGGAGCCAGCTATCTATAGACTGAGATGTCTGAAACCATGATCTCTCAAATAAACTTTTCCTCCTTAAAACAAAAAAACAAACAAAAAAAAAATCACAAATATTAAAAAGTTGAGCATCTTTGATAAACCATTCAGATTGGTTTATTTAGTAGGTTGGGGCAGAAGATCTTAGCTCCATCTCCCAAGGGATTAAAGAAAGAAATTCTATGCCTAAGTCTGAATTAATTATCATTTGTTTGGTATGGTATGAGTTTGGGAGAATTAGAGCAAGAAGGATCTGTAGAGTATCAATCATTCCTCTTTCCTGAGAAAACTCAAAAGCACATGTCCCATTATGGTGAGTTAGCACCATCATATGTTATTACATAAAGAAACTTTTTACTAGCCATTTATCAAATAGAAATGAACTTTTCTATGGTGTAGCTTGTTAGATAAAAGGATAAGGGTATATATATATATATGTATATGTATTCAGTCAGTGTATCTGGAATACACAAACAGCTGATAATATTTCAGGGTATAGATATATTATTGTGTCTAACATGTTGACATGCTCACTCTTTTTTTTTAAACATTTTTTTTTAAACATTAGTTGTTGATGGATCTTTTATTTTATTTATTTATTTACATGTGGTGCTAAGAATCAAACCCAGTGCCTCACACATGCTAGGCAAGTGCTCTACCACTGAGCCATAACCCCAGCCCCATCACTCTTGATATGTGACATTTAGGGCACGTTATGTTTTCTAATTTTTTATAGTATTAGTTTATAAATTTAGGTTTATGGATTATTTTGAATTAATTTTATTCATATGGTGTGAGACAAAAGACAAAGTTCTTTTTTTCTACATGTGGAGATCCAGTTCTTCTAGTAATATTTATTGAAACCTATTATTTCCCATTGAGTTTCATTAACACTTTCACCATGTATCAATTGATTGATATATGTGTAAAATTATCTTCAGATTCTCTGATTTGTTCCATTAATTTATACCTCTGTCCTTTCCTCAACATCACACTAATTTTATTTTCCTTGTCTTTCACTAATATGAGTTATATATCATAATTCTAATTAAGGTTTGAAATCAGGTTAATACTATAAATTTATTTTTCTTTTTAAAAGCAATAATGGATTAGTAGATAGATTAGATCCATGAAAAAAATTATCATTAGCTTATGCAATTTTACAAAACAAAAACAAACAAGCCTTCTGGAATTTGTTTAACTTGTTAAATAAATTTTGGTATAGTTTGGAATAATTTTAGAGTTGAAAAATTGCAAAACAGTTCAGAGAGTTCCCTTATACCTTTTACCTACTTTCTCCTGATGTTAATATCTTATGTAACTGTGGTACATTTGTCAAAACCAAGAAACCAGTGCTGGCACTAAACCCCATACTTTATTTGAGTTTCATGAGTTTCCTTAAAACATTAGGTTTTCCACTAATGTCCTTTTTCTGTTCTAGAATTCAGTCCAGAATATCACATTGCATTAATTCCTCATGCCTCTTTATTCATCTCTGATCTGTGACAGTTTGACAGTCATGTTTTGTTTTTTATGACTGACAGTTCTGAAGAGTTTTGTTTAGGTACTTTGTAGGACGTCATTTGAGTTGGTTGCCTGATATTCTTTTCATGACTAAACTGAGATTATGGTTGGTTTGGGGAAAGATAACAGAGGTGAAGTGCCCTTCTTATCCTGTGGGAGCATACATGCTAGACACATGATTATTCAATGACCACCTACTTCAGTCACTTGGTTAAAATGAGTACTTTCCAGGTTTCTCTACTTTTTTCTTTCCATCTTCTACCCTTTGGAAGCAACTCAACAAATCCAGCCTTCATTTAAGGGATGAGATTGAGCTCCAACTTTTATAGTGGGAGCTCACATCTTCACATCTTTACATTTGTTCAGAATTGCTATTTTAACAATATTGTGCTTTCCAGTCATTAAACATGGCATATGAGTCTATTATGGAGGCTTTCTTTACTTTTTCTCAGCAAAGTTTTGCAGTTTTTATAAGTGTACAGATCTTTTATATGTCTTTTATTAAACTCATACCGATTTTATTATATTTTTTCACAATATTGTGAATAGATTTTTTAATATATCTTTATTTTGTTTATTTTTTTGTGGTGCTGAGGATTTAACCCAGTGCCTCACACATGCAAGGCAAGCATTCCACCACTGAGCTACAACCCCAGCCCCTATGAATAGATTTTTAAAAATTTATTTCTGGTTTTTTTGTTACTAGTATATTAGAATAATGTTTTAGACTATTAATCATATATCTTGCAAACTTGCTAAACTCACTTGTTAGTTCTTATAGTTTTCATTGCATATTCCTTTGCTTTTACTGCATAGATGATAATATTTTTGCAAATAAGGGCAAATTACTTTTTCTGTACTAATTTACATGAATTTATTTATTTTGATAGTTTTGTTGTACCAGGCCCTCTAACACAATATTAATTAGGAGTTTGATGCTTGTTTTTGAAATTAAGTGGAGAACCTTCAATCCTTAACCACGGAGTGTTTGTTCCTGATTTGACAAAGAAATTTCATCAGGTTGAGGAGATTTCTTTTTATTTCTAGTCTCTTGAGAGTTTTGTTTTGTTTTTTGAAAATCATCGTGTTAAAGTTTGTCAACATTTTTTCTTCTTCTTTTTACTACTTTAGTGTATTGACTATGTTTTTTCCTCCTATTAATATGGTATATAACAGTAATTGATTTTTTTTATAACTCTGATCTTGTTTTATTGGAATAAACTCCAGTTGGTCAGCTTACGTTACTGTTTTTATATATTGCTGGGTTAAATTTACTAATATTTTATTAAGACCTTTTGTTTTTGTGTTCATGAAGAGTATTGGTCAGTAGTTTTCCTGTGATATTTTATCTGGCATTATAATCAAAGTAATTCTGGTTTCTATTTTCTGGAAGAGTTTATGTAGGATTGGTGTCATTTCTTCTTCTGATGTGTAGTATAATTCATGAATGGAGCCATCTGGGCCTGGCCTTTTTGTATGTGTAAAAAATATTTTAATTACTAATTAAATGTCTTTACTAAATACAAAGCTGTTTAGATTTTTTCTTTTTTCTTGAATACGTTTT